GGAGAGGGTAATCAGGCATCGGAACGGCCTGCCCAGAGAGGTGGTGGATTCACCATCCCTGGAGGTTTTTAAAAAGAGATTGGATGTGGCCCTTGGTGCCATGCTATAGTAATTGGAATTGGATCAGGGGTTGGACTTGATGATCTTGGAGGTCTTTTCCAACCCAATCTATTCTATGATTCTATGATTCTATGATTGTGTGCCCAAGGAGAAAGAGGAAAAAGATTGGTATGGCTGGGCATGCATGACTCATCACATTTTTGTGAAAAAGGTGAGGCTTTTGCCTTATCAGAAATGAACTTTTCTTCCCTGATATGATTGCATATTCAATCCCTTTCTACATTTGAGATGAAAGACAACAGAGCACCAAAAAAAATCACATTTTCCAAAGTGTCCCTGAAGTTGAAGGATTCTGTAGAGGTCGTGCAGACCAGGTACCATGTCTTTCATGGATGCATCTGAAGACATGGCAGATCCCCTGTATGAAGTAGGACCATCCAGGGTGCAGATGAGGAAGATGTAGCTCTTTCGGATCTGTGTGAGAAACTTTATGAATAGCCTGCTTCATTCATGATGTTGTTCCCCACTTGTAATCATCTCATCAAAGTTGTAACAGCAACATCCTCCTGCATTTATTACTTCTGTGACAGCTTCCACAATGACATCCCCCATAAACATCTCTGGTCCTTTGTCAGTCTCCACTCCACCCATCCGCATTCCTCCAGTATCAAAGGTTATGGATATACATTTTCTTTCATGGCACTTGGAGCAGAAGCCCATAAGTATCCACCACTCCTTTTCATTTTCTGTTTCAGTTCCCCTGCAAATCCCTGCTTAAAACTGTCTGTGATATCCTTGACAAAGGAGAGGCTGCTGGTGTGAAGCAAGCACTGCCTAGCATGCTGGCCAGCACTGTCTCACAGCTTCCTAGAACTCCTTCCTCTCCCAGTAGCTGTCTGTAGGCAGCTCTGGTCTTCTCACGTTGTCAACTCCTGTTTTTCTGATCTTTGTTTTTACACAGTTTTACAGAGCTGAGTCTTGGTGTGTGCATGGGACTCTGGGATACTGAAACTTCACTGTCTGTCTCTGTGGAAGGAGAGGCTGTCCAGGATGCTCCACAGTCTATAGTCATACAAGAAATGAAGGAAATCACCTTTCCCTGACACTTCAGCAGGAGCGGAAACAAGCAGATTGCAGATCCCTACCTTCCGATGTGGAAATCACGTCAAGAGGCACAATGAACACTGAGATTTCACCATCTGTCCCCAAATGTTGCATATTCATTGCATATAAAAATAGGCTATAAGAGTACAGTTAGGACTGAAAAATCCATGAGGGAAGAAATGCCAGAATTAGGCCTCCTTTGTGCTATCTGTTATGATACCTTTATTACATGATCACACAGTGTTTTGCTGGAGGTCTCAACTTTATTCCATGGTACAGCATGGACTGTCTTCACTGGCAATGTTATATAGAATTATTTTTTTTTCCTTAGAGTTCAATGCGGTCCTAGGCTTTATTTTCTTCCCAAGTCCTCCTCTTAGTAAGAATTACTGATTTTCCCAACACTGGGACTTACAGTGACACACCTACCTATAGTATCTGGATGCTCTGTTACCTCCAGCAAGTGTGTGGTTGTTCCTTAGCCACTTGAACGGAATGGAAACAGAGACAGGCATGTAAGCAAAGAGCTTGGTTGCACCAGGCATCAGTTTATCAGGGGTCTGCCTTGGTCTCTTATCCCACCACGGTGCTGCAGCAAGACCCATGCCCATATCCACCCTTGCAGGCTTCATGGGTCCCACAGGGCAGTGCTTCAAGGCTGTGAGCTGAGACCGAGGGGTGACCGACAGACATAGCTGGGGCCGGGGATGTGCAAAAGTGTTCAGCATCAGGCACACTGGACTTGCTCAAGGCAGAGCTTCCATCAGCTCCCATCATGGAAGTGGACATCAGGAGGCAGGGTCTTATGGCATGTGCAGACGGGGGGCACACCCTACAGCTACTGACAGCAGGCTGGGGAAAACCTCAGCAAGACCTGGCACAGAAGACCCTGCAGGGAGAGAGGGACTGAAGCCAATTCTGAGAGGCAGCAGTCACAGTCCCGAAAAGGGACCACGGATAGAGCATCTCAGGTTTCATGTCAGGCTCTGGCATGTCCAGACTCTCCCTATGGCTCACACCTTGAAAACACACCTTCCTACACTGCTCCCAAGCCCCCTGACTCCTCACTTGTACCATATGAGGTACCATCCCAGTCCCATGTGACCCCATCCCAGTCGTATGCAATCCTTCAGCTTTAGCATCCCAGTACCAGATGTTTGCCTAGCCCAGTGTCCCCAGGGTCCCTGTCTGCCTCCTGGCTGTGCCAGGAAAGAATTAGAGTGTATTGGTCTCTGCCTGCCTTTGCATTGCCCAATACCTCTGCCCTGAGCAGCATTAAATGGACAGCCCATCTTCATCCTGCTTCTAGAGCTGAGGATGGTTCTTGGACTGCAGAGGGAACACAGGTAGCCTGGTCCCTGCAGATCTGTGGGGAAGCAGCAGGATCAGCAGAAACTTGGTAGCACTGGCTGCTTGCACAGAAGCACTGGGGTCGGCACTGGGAGCTGCTGGGATGCTGGGCTGAGCTCGCTCATGCGGGAAGGAATCTCAGTGGATTTCGACTACTCAGCCCTAGCACGTCCCTAATAAGTTGCTATTTTTTCCTTCAAAGGCTATCACTAAGCCAAATTGGAGGAGATTTGCAAAGTAAAAAAAAAAAAAAAAAAAATCACTTTCCTAATACCGAGCTGCCAAATTTCAGATCTTAGTTCCAAAGTGCAGAGGGATAAGAACTATCCAAGGAAAGGATCAGCAGGTTCCCCCTCCCATTTCTTCCTTTCTTTTTTTTCAAGTTGGACAACAATTTCTTTTTCCCTGTGCTCATTCTTGGAATGGACAAAACTGGCTGGACAGTTTTGGCTGAAATTTTACAGAAAAGAACTTAGCCCAAGGCAGACAATCAAGTTGGAAGAACTCAGTCTAAACTGTTCAAGTCTAACAAAGTTATAAGCAGCAGCAAAGACAATCCTACAGCAGGACAGACATGAGTAACCTTTATCACAGGAGCCGCATGCGATCCTACCGCTGACGCATTCGGAGTTATAATAGCTGATGATGCTGTTCCATTCAGGTGCATCTGATCACGATTCAGATTTGTCACCAGTAAAAAAGCGTTAACTCAGTCATCCCACTGAGCCTTCCCACACCCCTTCCTACTCGAACAGCTCTTCCCAACTAACAACTGATCCTTCGAAAAACCACAGTTCCCTCGCCTCCAGTATTTCCGAGCAGGATATGTCAGCTTCAGCTTCTTGGATAGAGGCAGCTGATGCTAAAATGAGATTGCTCTCTGAACTAATGTATTCAAAATTAATAAAAGAAATAAAGCAACACACTCCTCTGGCATGTTCCCATGCATATTTTCCATAAAAGTTAATTTTTCCACAAGAACAAGTTGTGAGTTTGTGGGGGTTTTGCACTGAATCTTGATACAGAGCTGAGAATTCTTGGCACTGCTCGGGACGTTAAAATGACATCAGCTCCACTTTCTATGTTGGAATTTTATAGTTCCTGCCTGACCGCATTTCTTTGTTCTGCACAGATTCTCTCTCCTCTGAGCTGCCTCTCTGCCACGGCGTGCTCTTACACGAGTATTGGGATAAGCAGAGTGTTTGTATTCCTTATAGCCCTGCTTGTCCCTCTCTGTGCCGGCACCCAAGTGATAAAGCTGCATTTCTCCCTTCAGGACAAAGCAGCACTGTTGGCTCAAGGGACGAGGGCACCTTTGCCAGCCGAAAGGCTTCCCCTCAGTGTGGCAGCTCTGTGCTGTGAGGGATCCGGTGTGCTAAGCAGAGTCCTCCTCTTTTCTCTGGCTGAGCAGAGGAGTGGAGTGCCTGCTGCCAGGATGACATGGCTGTGGGACAGCAGGGACTAGGTGGGAGGACAGTGACTGCAGACAGGACACTGTGAAACCATCCTGTCTCACTCAGGGAAGGGTAAAGGGAGTGGAAAGTAGGGAAAGAGGAAAGTGAGCATCTCTGGTTGGGAAACAAGGCTTTCTCTAGCACCTAGAGCAGCGTTTGTTCTGTGCTTCAGTTCTGCCACCGCACCCACACTGCCCCATCCCTTGGAGCAGAGAGGGGCAGCTCTTTTTTAAATCAAGCAAAAATCTGAGTAACAGTGTCTCCATATTACCCAGCGGCTCGACCTGCTGTGTTTGAACACTGTGGTGCAGGATTTGGTACTTGGTACTCGGGATCCCCTGTGAATCACAGCACAGGGCTGGGAGAGTTAACAGACTCTGGCACTGGGCGTACAGTTCCACGGGCTTGTTTCCTGGATTTCAAATAAAATAAGGATTCAAGGAAAAGATGATGCTTTTCTACATCCCCTATGACTTGGAAAGCAATAAGAGCAAATAAAGGCAGTTAATTATCTGGCACACTGCATCCAAACATTTCTGAAAGCACGGTTCTGCTGTTACTGTACGAGTCACACTGGAGCAGCATTAGCATACACTCTGTAAACAGATTCAGTGCCATCCTCCTGCACAGCCTCAGCCTCCCAAAAGGGATTAGAGCAGCTGGACAAACCCAGGAGGGACTATACCTGGCAGTTAACAAAATGCCAGTTTTGGTTTAGTCTGGCTTGATTGCAGTAGCACCTGGATTTGCTATTTCCTACGTTGCCTACATGCTCAGCCTCTCTAATGTGTGAGGAAGAATCACTGCTCTTTGCTTCTCTGTGCAAGATTTATCATTTCATCACTTCACTGTTATGTGAAAATAGCCAGACCAAAAGAACAGTTAAAGGTTGTGAAGCCATTTGCCAAACACTTCTTGCTTTATAACAGCAACATTTTTACAATTGCATTTGCAACAGCATTTTTAGCAATCACATTTATAAGCTCCTTTACAAGCACATGCAACCATATACAGAATGCAGAAAATCTTTACCTTGCTTGCCCAGAGGAAAGAGCCTGGTTTCCTTTCATGGATCAGAAGTAGGATGAAAAACAAACCCGAAAAAGACCCTTGAACAGACTCATCTGCTGAGAGTTGTTTAAATCCCAAGCCTGCTCCTGCTAGCAGCTCTAAGTTTGTGCTCTGAATAGAGGCTGTGTTATTTTAACCACAGGATTTCTAGTCATGGGGGAGGAGAGATGGATTAGGTACGTTTGCAATCTAATGCTTCACATTTACCTCAACAGAAATGAACTACTTTTAGCCTGATGTAAATAAGTACTGCTAAGTTATAAATTTCAAGAGCCCACTAACCAATTATGCTTAAACTAACATGCTAAATAACTGTGGAAAATTCCAGAGGAATAAGATAACATACTTTTGTGTTCTTTCCTAAATAAAAGGCATGTGTGGAATTTCATGCTAGATACTGTGACAACTGAGGGGCAGCAGATGAACTGCACAAACTAACCTATGCAAGGTGCTGTACCTCATAAAACCATATTCCTAACACCTGTTAGCCTGGATTTCATCAGGCATCCCAGCAACATGGGTTTCCATGGCTTGTAGAAAGTACAGATATGAGGGATTTGAATCTAATATTTCAAAAGAGCAAATAAAGCTCTCTAAATTAATAATGCAAGACTTTAAAAGGTCACGAGGTCTGTAGTTCTAAGGGAGCACAAACATTAGTCCACTGAACAAGTGCCACCTCCAACAGTGATGTAAGCTGGATACCCTCCCTGCAGCTCATGGATTGACATGGACAGTGTTAAATGCAGGCAAAATATCGTGCCTAGGACATTTGTTTGTGGTTTTGTTGTTTAATCCAAAGTCTGCTTTCCTTTCCTCATTTATGACACTTCGGTGCTACAGCTGATGTGGTTGTAAAGCACAGCTACAGCCCAGGCTTCCACAGTCACCTCACAGCCGATGGGAAAGAGATCCCTTCACTTTCTGAGAGGTATGATTTGTAAATAAAACTCATTCTTAAACTTTGGGCTAAGCTAAGAAAAAAAAAAAATTGAATGCAAAGTACTGGAAGCTAGTGGACAAATTCCAATTTATCTTTGATAGCAGAGGCTTCAGGAACACCAGTTTAATTCCATTTTGGATAAAACCTGGATCTATAAATAACATTATCTTACACTTACATAACACTCTTCATCCCAAAGCGCTCCCGAGTGCTTTGCAGATGTAATCATCCTTTCTGAAAAACGCGGGCAGAGCTCCCGCCCTGGAGGGGAGGATCGGGGCGGATCGGGGGCCGTGCTGGGCAGGAGGAAGGCAGCAGAGCATCCCGTGGCAGTTTGGCCAGCCACTGTCCCTCGGCACGAGCTGACAGTAGCTGGGGCATCACAGCCATTACTCTGCTCTTCGGGTGCCGGCCAGGAGCACGGGGAGGCAGCTTTTTGGGTCACCCAAAAAGGTATGGCTGAGAGAGCTCACTCTGGTGTACAGGTCTGGTGTCTTTAACAACCAGCAGTGGTTCAGAGCCTGTCACCCAGTTCAGCCTGCAAGTTCCTTGAGTTGACTGGGGCATCTCCAGAGATGTCAACCTGCTTCCCAGTGCTCAGACCGAGCTCTCTAAGTTACCCCCAATGCTTGGCTCAGCCTAGCTCACCTAATCTTGGGTGCTTAGTTTTTGTGGGGTAGGCAGTAGGTAACCTGTTGTGGTTTAGCCCCAGCCCATGAGTAAGTACCAAGCAGCTGCTCACTCCCTCTCTCCAGCCTCCCCAGTGGGAGAGGGAGGAGAACTGAAAAAAGGCAAAGCCTGTGGATTGAGATAAGACCAGTTCAATACTTTAAATAAAGTTAACAACAATGACAATGATGATGATGATAATAGTAATAGGAAAAATAGACAATACAATTGCTCACCACCCACTTACCAGTGCCTAGCCTGGTCCTGAGCAGCCTGGCCCCTCCCAGCCAACTCTCCACAGTTTATATATGGAGCCTGACATTCTAGGGTATGGAACATCCCTTTGGCCAGTTTAGGCCAGCTGACTCAGCTATGGTTCCTCCCAGCTTCTTGTGCATAAGAAACTGAAAAGTCCTTGACACTGCTCAGCAACAACTATAACATCAGTGTTATCAACATTATTCTCATACTAAATCCAAAACACAGCACTGTTACTAGGAAGAAAATTAACTCTATCTCAGCTGAAATCAGGACAGATCCCAAGTATCTGTGCCACAGGCAGGGATGTGCACTTGAGCTAGAAGGAAAATGTCCCCAAAATGTTCCCAAACCTCCCATCAACATACCCTTGGCTCACCAAAAACTTCTCCTTCCCCCAATCAAGCAGCTCACTCCACTCAAGTGGGCTTTCCTTGGCATTGCTGTAATTGTCATAACATCAATTCCACTGATAGTTTCCAGCTACAGGTTCTACCTCACCCTTGCACGGGACCCCACGATGAAAGCAGGCATGAGAAATGTTCCCAGGGCAGGGACAGGTGTTGCTATAGCCCTTCTGGGGGAAGGCCCAGCTGGAAGAGCCCAGGTCTCCCAGTTTGCAAATACTGGTATCTGCACCAGACCTGTGCACCGACACTGCCGGAAAGGGCTTCTTTTTTGTGCTCCCTGCTGCACCTGGATGGGGAATCTTTGAATACACAAGGGAAGTTTCTGTGCTGCAGACGGGTATATTTTTCATTTTTGCTTAGCTGGTTCAATAGGAAACAGCAGGAGGAAGAGAGGCCAGCAGATGTTACTCTGCAGGTTGACCTGAAAAAAGTCCATTTTTCCAGAGAAACTAAAAACAAAAAGGTGGGAGTGGGGAAAGCAAAAATAATTTTGCATTAAGTGAAAGCTTTTGATCCTAATGCATGGTTTGCTTCTTCTAGCTTATCTCTTAGGTCAGATTGTACTCATTTTACAAAGAAACAGCACTTTAAAAACAAACATAAAGGAAATATAGAGTTTTGTTTCTAAAATGTCAAAGCAAGACATTTCAGTGTTCCACATTGCTCCTGTTATTTTGGGATGTGCAGAAAAGTTATAACAGGGGGATGGGTTTAGTGTTTGTTTCCTTTCTCCTCCTAGACATGTCAACAAATTGGACACAAATTTACCACCAGTTCCCTCAAGTTTGTATTATTTAGGAAATAAAACCAAAAAAAATTCGGTCTGAAACCTTTGCCAGAGTTAGGGTCTGAGACAGCATCCTGCATTTGGAAGTTGAACGCCTGCCTATTGATGAAGTTTGCTTGTTTTTTTTTTCTCTCATGCTTTGAGGCAGCTCAGACCTGTTCCCTGCCTTATGCGTTCTGCTGCAGTACAGACCACAAACATGCCCACTGTCTCCAAAACAAAGTCAGCTTCACATAGGTTCCTAGAGCTCTTTCCCTCTTCATCCTACCCAAACATGATGGTTCTTAGCTGAAATGGCTGTTTCCCAAGTGTAAACAGCAACAAATTATTCCTGATCCATGAGAGGAGCGTCCCCTTTCAGCACCTTCTATGCGATGCTGGATATTTCTGCACTGTAATCACACAGGCTGAGGTCTGTAAGCTGTGGTGCTCACCTGCCTCTCATTAAAGCCTGCAGAACAAAACACAGCCCATGCTAGAACTATTTAGGGATTCGATTTTGCTCCTCAGTCAGCATTCCTATGAATTGGGCAACAAATGAAAGGAAATGTGAAACACAATGAACTGTACAATGAAGTACAATTTTGCAGCATCCAGAACTCCTACACTGGCCAGTCATTGTGAGAAAATGGGATGAAAAATTCATAATAGACATTGTAGATGGGAGATTACATGTTACATAAACTCGAATAGTTTCTATTTTGCATGTTTTCTCCCTTTTTTAATGAAGTAAACTGAGAACTAGAAATAAAAGTTTCTATTTCTTTTGAATTAGGGAACTGCTTCTTGAAGTGATATTGCAACCCACACCATTAAAAGATCTTCCACTAGGATTTACACAAAACCTCATGATTGATCTAGAAAACACAAGCTTTTTGGAAAAAAAGCCCATTGGGAATGGTAGCAGACCACATTTTCATACTTCTACTCTTCAGTTTTGACATCTGGCAGTTAATTTTGTTGTAAAAGAAAGCAAATGTTTTCTTTAGTCAAAGTGCACCAGGAAACTGAGGTCCTGAACCAGCCGCTCCCACTATAAGGACTATAAGAAACAAAATTGTGATAGTTGTCAAAAACTAAAAAAAAAACCCAACCAACCAACAACAACAACAACAAAAAGCACAGAACAAAACTAAAAAAATAAAATGGAATTTAATCTCATGCATCTGAATTATTTTCTTTCGAGATTGCAGTGCTTGTTTCTGTTCTATTTGTAAGATTACACCAATCGCTACCATCGGTGAACATAAACCACCAAATGATTTGACAAGCTAAAAGTGAACAAGTTTACAGATAAATGCAGGTTAATCCAGGGAATTCCACTAAAGAACTTCCCCTTAAATGAAGTGTGTGAAGCTCTATAACAGGCCCCTGCAGCTCCACAGTGGAGCAAATATCCACCTGCAGCCCATGGAGAACCCCTGCACATAATATTAAAAGAAAAGAGGTAAGATGCTTCACCAACCTGCTCAGAGACATTCTCAAAGCCTTCATCTCACCTAGCAGCCCCAGAGGAATTTGTCAAAAATTATGAAGTGTGCATGGAAGATCTAAAATTGTACTGAGGCTCAAAGCCCTTTGCACTGTCCAGGATGGGTAATACGATGTGGGGCTGTCTCTACCTCATTACAGTCATATCAGCCCTGAGGACATTTCCTCTTACAGAGAATCATAGAACCATAGGATGGTTTGGGCTGGAAGGGACCTTAAAGATCATCTAGTCCCAACCCCCTTGCCATGGGCAGGGACACCTTTCACTAGACCAGGTTGTTCAATGCCCCATCCAAGCTGGCCACAAGAGCTCACCTGGGGAAATATGCCAAAGGATCCTAAGAATCTGCAAGATTTGCTTTGAGCTCTATTTTTTTTCTTTTGTCTAAAGCAAGACAGCTAAGCCAAGGCTAAATCTTGTGCTTTCCAAACAAGTAAGAGGCCTGAATACTGTACTTTGTGTCAGAGATGAAGATTTGATCCCCACATGTGTCACAGACTCCCTGCATCACTTTGGCAAATCACCTTGTGATGGATTTTTATACACTTGGCACTAAGGCTGGGTCATTATAATAGCTGTATGAGGCAAGATCCCCAGAAGAGCTCATTTCCCCTTGTCCAGA